TTTGAAGAAAGAAAATCAAACAGAAGGAAGTAAGTCTTAAAAAAATGATGCTGTGGTACTTGAAGGTTAAGAAAATGGAGATGATGTTAATCTTGGGTGGATGTGTTTTTAAAACCACAACAGAAAGGGATAAAATTCAAGATGATTTTTTTTTCAAGATGAGTTTTAAATGTCATCCAGGGGAAAACTTTACAGCCTATTAACTTCAACATAAGAGAAAAAGAACTTAGTTCTTTTGTTGCAGATCTTTGGAGCACTTGAAGAGTTATAGAGTTAGGTCTTTTTTTGAGAAATTATCTAAAAGGTCAAAGTCATGACTGGAGGCAACACTTCTTTGGAACTCACCATTCAGCTCTCAGCTCCTGCCATCACTAGCCAGGAATTCGCCTGGGATCCACAATGCCAAACTGCACTTTCTCATTACTTCAAATACTCTACATCCTTGTTTACCTCAAAGACACTTCAAGCAGCAACTCAGTAGAAAATGCTTCAGGAGAATGAAAACTTGCCCTTCCAGAGTAATTGGTGCAATGGTATGTACGAGGACATGTATTCATTTCAAGATTTATTTAAAAATTTTTAGGCATATGAGTGTTTCATCTGCATGTATGTATGTATGTACACCAAGTGCATGCAGTGCCTGAGGAGGCCAGAAGAGGGTATTGGATCCCCTGGAACTGGAGTTACAGACAATTGTGGGTGCTGGGAATGAAACCCAGGTCCTCTGCAAGAGCAGCAAGAGCTCTTAACTGCAGAACCATCTCTCCATTCCTTGTTCTTTTTTTTTTACAAAAACTTGTTTGATTGTAATGAAATAAAAACATAAGTAACATAAAACATCATCTGTGGTGGCTTATCTTTATTGTAAACTTGATTGGATTTAGAAATACCTAGAAGACACATTTCTGAGTGTGTCTATGAGGGTGTTTGTAGAAAGGTTTGACTGAAGAGGGGAGGCCGAGACTTAATGTGAGCAGTAACATCCCCTGGGCTGGTGTCCCAGACTGAATGAAAAGGAGAAAGTGAGCCGAGCACCAACATTCATCTCTCTCTGCTTCCTGATTGTAGACACCACATGGCCAATTGTTTCACATTCCTACTGCCCTGCCTTCCCTGTCATGATGAACTGCAGCCTTCAAACTGTGAGACAGAATAGACCCTTCTTCCTTTAAATTTCTTCTCGTTATATATCTGCTCACAGATGTAAGAAAAGTAATCAATAATCATCATGATTATTATTGTTGTGTGTATTTTTATTGAGATTTTGTGCATGTCATATAATAGATCTCATCAAATTTAGACCCCCCTCCCCCATCTGCACTCCCCCATAGGCCCCCCCATTGGATTTCATGAATTCTGTCATATATGTTAAGGCCTATTCAGTCAAGCATTTGTACCCAGATGTCCCTCCATACAAGTTCATCCACTGGAGTCTAGTCAGCCTAACTAGAGTCACTCCCCTAAAGAATATCAATTCTCCTTCACCCCACAGTAGTCAGTTGCCAAGAACTCCTTGGCTAAGGTTGGGGCCTGCTGCCCATTTCCCCAGTTCTATGCTGGGTTTTTGTCTGATTGAGTCACCATGGGTCCTGTGCATGCTGTCAGCATTGTTGCAAGTTCATATGAGCAAGTTCTCAGAGACCTGAAAACCTCTGCTTCCTTATATTCATGTACCAATCCTGGCTCTTACAATCTTTCCTCCCCATTTTCCACAATAGTCCTTGAGCCATGGCTGAATGAGGTTTAATATAGGAATCCTAACCAGAGAAATGCACTCTGCAGTTTCTTATTCTCAAAAACTTGGCCAGTTGTGGCCTTCTGGGTGTATCACACTCTGTTGTATGAGGAAGTTTTGCTGGTGAGAGTTGAGAGATGCATTAGTCTTCTCTCTACCCCGGTCCCACTATGTTCCATGAGCCTTAGTTGTAGAGAGAGGTTCTACTGTAGATGTGTAACTTAAGGCTGGGCATTTCTCAGACACTTATTTTCTGTGTGTGACCAGTTGTAGAACTCTGTAATTAGACTCCATCTGTTGCAAAGTTTCTTTGATGAATGTTGTATAGTATACTTGTCTGTAAATATAAGCATCTATATTTAGGATACAGTAAGAAATTTCATTTGTCTAGAGATATAGCAGAGATAGGGTTTTTTCTAGGATCTATGACCTCTCCAGCCACGGGTATTTGGCTGTGTTTATAATGATGCCACTCATGAGTTCCCTCCCATGGAGAGGGTTTTAAGTCCAATTAGATAGATGTTAATTATGCTCTAGATAAAAGTGTCACTTCTGCACAAATAGAGATAGTTTGCTATGTTAGTCATTGTAGTTATTAAGCTTTACAGCTGGGGGTGGACCATGATTGATTTTCTCCCTTAGCAGCTGTATAATCTAGAACTATGAGAGCTAGTCTTCAGGGAGAAGGCTTCTAGGTCAGCTCCAGCTTCATTGCTCCAAGTCTTGTGTCTGAAGTACATCCTGTCTTTAGCAATAGGGTCTCACCTTCAAGTTCTGGAAGGTAACCAAGTGTTATGGCAATAGCCTGTGTTATTTTTGGAGTCTCTTGGACTACCCTGAGCAACACAAAAAACCCTGAACCATACATATACAGTATCTGAACATGAGTGTATATGTATACCTGAAGGCTAGATACCAACAAACACAGTGTCAAACAGGAGCAATCTCCCTTCAAGTTGTTTTTTGTGATTATTTTGAGGTGCGATAGGATTAAGGACATTCACACTGTTGTGTAACCAGTCTCTAGAAGTTTCATCTCACCTCTCCATTTTCCACCTTCCCTGCATCCCTGGTGACCCCCATTCACTTTTTTCTGCCTCCATCAATTTGTCTAGCTGCTTCATAATAGTGGAGCATACAGTATCTGTCTTTTTGTGGCTGGCTTTTCACATAGTACAATGCACAAAAGGTTCCTCCTTGTTGAACCACATATCTTTTGTCTTTAATAGGCCATGGTATGCATCTACCATATTTTGTTTATCCTTTACCCAAGGGTGCTTGATAATACATTTTTGGGGGAATGATCTTTTTGGGTCAGGGTCTCCCTTAGCCCCAGCTGGCCTGGAACTTGCTATGTAGACCAGGCTGGCCTTGAGCTCACAAAGATCCACCTGCCCCTGCCTCTGCCTCCCAAGTGCTGGGATTAAAGGCATGTGCCATCACACCTGGCTTGGTGATACATTTTAAGAGAATTACAGAACTGTATGGAGTGTATATAAAAGGATGCACCTGTCATGATCAATAATTACTGAGGCCTCCTTCTGTCTGGCCAGCACTGAAAATAGGCTCTGCATAAACCACTGCTGACCATATTACACTGGAAATTCTTACCAATTTCAAAGCCCTAAGAAAATATAAAACCGGACCTTCTGGTTCTGTTTCTCTGGGAATTTAGCAGAAATCAGTAGGTCCTAAAGGCAGGCAGTGCAGTAACCACATAGTTTACTCATTGCTCAAATGTAGGGAGTATTGAATTCAGGGATGACTCAGGTTGATACTGATTTACTATCTCCATGCATAGTTATGTGTTCTCATTAGGAGAAATACTATGGTCTTTGGAGGTTGGCTTTGCTTCCAACCTAGGACCCCTGTCTCTCAGTGGCTCATGTAAAGGCTAATAATGTTGGCTCCACAAGAGGATCCAAAATGGCTGCCGGCAGCAAACAAAGTCAGTATAATTTGAAAACTCATCTATTTGTCTAATTACCACCATTACATTAAATGCATTAAAGAGGTAGTAGGGAAAGCTGATGTTTGCAAACTGAGAATGGCCCACACCAGAGCTTAAGTTAGCAGGTAGTAGGTACATCTGTGATTTGGCTTATGCAAGCTCCCTTCTTTTCTGTTTTGAAAGGGGGATTGTGTGTGTGTGTGTGTGTGTGTGTGTGTGTGTTCCAGTTACTTTCTATTGTTACGATAAAACACTGACCAAAAGCAAGTTGGAAAAGAAAGGGTTTATTTCATCTTACTCTCCCAAGTGATAGTTCATCACTGAGGGATGCCAAGACAGGAACTTAGGCAGGACAGGAGCCTGGAGGCCAGAGCTAAAGCATGGAGGAATGCTGCTTACTGGCTTGCTCCTCTAGCCTGTGCTCTGCCTCCTTTTTTATACAACCCAGGATCACTTTCCCAGGGGTGGCATTGCCCACCGGGGGTTGGACCCTCCCACATCATTCAACAGTTAGGAAAATGCCCCATAGACAAGGCCACAGTAAAATCCATTGGGGGTTGAGGTTCCCTCTACCCAGGTTTGTCAAGTTGACAGCTGAAGATATCCAGCACATGTGTGTTACATGGGGCGGGCTAGTGGTAAAAAACCCTCATCAGTCCTCTAGAATGGTTGAAGAGTAATCCCTGCCCCTGGCCCAAAGTCTTTCCTGCCACATCAGACTTTCCAAATACACAATAAAGTATGAAGGTCTTTTCAGGAGGATCAGGCAGCTCTCAACAGAACAGTCTAGTCAGTATAGGAAGGACCATAACCACTCCATCCTTGAAGACACAAGCTTCCAGTAGGAAAAGTGTCTCCCAAGGATGCTTCTCTTGTGATCTGCTCTGCTCTCTTCTGCCTTTCCCCTCAAAGGAGAGAATTGCCCTTCCCTCAGGGGAAGTTCTGCTGCCTCCGCTGCCTTCATGACTCAAGCTTTGGCTCCTGGGTAATGATGGTCCTTCCCTACCCAGTAAGGGGACCAGTAATCCTGGTCCCATCAGCAAGGATAAAGGTCAGTGAACCAAGTTTGGTTCAGTTTCTCCATCAATGCACCTGATTTAAAAAAAACAAAAAACAAAAAACAAAAAACAAAACAACCTATATTATCCAAAACTAACAAAAAAGTGGGTGATTAGATTTTGCTTTGTTTTGTGTTGTTTCTGTGTGTCTTTCCCCCTTGATGTTTTCTTACCAACTGGCCTGTTGGGAAGTTGCATATCCAATGTCAGAGGTTGGCCCTGACACAGGCCACTGTCACACTCTCCCCCAGCTTCTTCATCTTTCTTCATGGCACAGCAGCTTGAGGATCGCACTAACATCCTGATGAGAAATGACCATCAGTCCCAGCTTGGTGAGAGGTATAACGTAGATTTCCCTACCTTGTGAGAAGGTTGAGATGGGACCGGGTAAAAGCCCATTCTTCAACAAGAAGGTAAGGGGAAAAGGAGGGTCATCAGTGCACAAACTCAGTGTCCCCTAAAGGTGACTCTCTTCCTGTTCCAAGTCCCCCTCTCACCCAGTTGCATATGGTGGAGGATGGAGGTAAAAGAGCCCTGAAATGAATGGAGTTTTCAGTGAGCCATGAGAATAGGGGCAGCTCTGAGCATAGGTACTTAGCATTTCTCACATGGGCCTTTGGAACCTGATGTCCTCTGGTCACATGGACTTGTGACACCTCACCAGAGTATAGAAACTATCATAATTTTGTGGAAATTAAAAATGAATATTTGTCCTTAAAAATGCTTAAATTTCTCTATTAGAAAAATACAGTACATTCATCCATTTGTGAATTTTCACTATTATCCTATTTCCCTGTTACCTACAGATAAATGTTTTGAGTTAAGGGGCAAGTGCAGTTAAGGCACATGTTAAATCCCAGCACCTTCATTCTGATATCTCTTTCTACTTCAGTGAGGGATGTGGTTGGTACAAGGGAACGTGTGTTGTGAGGGAATGACTAGGATTTGAAAACTGGGCACGGAATTATGCAAATGAATCAAAACATGACTTTTTGGCCTTCTAAGACTAGTATGTGAAAACTAATAAATATTAGTTGATTGTGTTCTTTATTTTTGTGTTTCTTTCTGAGACAGTCTTACCATATAGCCCAGGCTTGACCTCAAACTCCAAGTTCCTTTGCCTTTGTCTCCTGAGTATTGAGATTACAGGTATATAATACCATGTCCAGATCTTGTATATGCTATTTGAAACTCTGAGTTTCAACTGCATTGTTAGTAATTATTTTATCATTTTAAAAGAGATAAACCTATTTCACAGAGCAGTTTTGAAGATGTAAAATTACATATTCACATTTCTAATACATCCTGAGCCAACAAACGTTGATTCGTTTCTCCCTCCACTTCCTATCTCTCTACACTATTCCTATTACTTTCTGAAGCTCCCTGACCAAAGGCCACCATTATGACCTTGCCAATCCAGCAGCCACCTTTCCTCTGCTCTACATGTCCTCTGCATCAGCATTGTTGATGATGACCTGCCGTGAACAGGTTCATCTTCATCTGTGATAACCTTATGTCTTTGAGATGCACCAAGTCTACACTGTAGAACTTCCTGCATCACAAGTAATATCTGTAGTCTCAAGAGACAAGGGACCTCAGCTGTAAAGACAATCATGTCCTCAACAAACACTTGTTCAAATATTAATATGTGTCAAGCTTCAATTAAGTGATAGACAAAGGAAACAGAAGATCAAAGAGGACATGGTTCCTGCTGTGTAGTAAGGGAAGCAGATGGGTACCTAACTGTATGCCCAGGTTATGATCCAAAGCTACAGAAAGTCCACTGGAGCAAATAGAAAAGGGGGGGGGGTGGATATCTGCCTCAACTTCTTGCCATGGAAGACTTCTTTTCAGAGATGATTTTGAGCTGAATTCTAAGCGATGAGAAGGAATTAGCTAGGTGGGGAAGTTAGCAGAGTCAAGTGGAATCCCAGGTTGAGGGCACAGAATTGTGCAAATGAATCAAAATGTGACTTTTCAGCCTTCTAAAGGATTGAGGGCTGAGGAAGTCCAGAAAGCATGGTGTCAGGAGGGTCTGGGGCCTGGTGTGAAGTTTGAAATTTATTGTGAAAATTCCGGACAACTTTTGATAGGTCAGGGAAGGGACAGGATCAGATTTGTGTTTTTCAATGGACTCTGTCTGCTAAGAAATATACATTACAGGATGGTGAATCTAAAGACACAAAGTCTCAATAATATGGACATTTTTACAGAACTCTAGAGAAAAAGTGATGAGGACCTAGTGTAAGGCACAACAGTGGCAACTGAGAATAGATGCCAGATATGGAGTTGGCTGATTACACATGGGTAGAGAAGGTAGAGAAACCAGAGATGATTCCCACATTTTTATTCTGGATAACTGCTTTTATGACAGACAAGACTTGGGATGTAGAAGAAAGCATTGAGTGAAGAGATCGTGAGTGCTCTACCACATGCACCAGAGCTGCCATCCTCCCATGGAAATGGATTGTAAAGGGATTGCCACTGATAGCCTAACAGCACGAGTGTCTGCCAGCAGGGCCAAAGTTCTTTAAGCATTGTTTTGGATCTGTTCCAAGATCAGAGAAATAAGAGCGTTTGGGCAAATAGCAAAGGTATGGTAATTCTAGCTTGATAAGAATGTCAAGTCTGGGACTGATGATAGATTTTTAGCATCTTAATTTAGGACTCATAATATATAGCTCTATGCAACTCTAGTTTCACCTAAAGATACAGCAGAAGTGGTGTTGGTACTCTCTTCTTTGTGTAGGCTCCTGGGTGACTTGCTGACTCTTCTTGATGGTCATAGTTGTTCCCGTTCTTGTCTCTGCTGCTCTCTATTTCTTTACTTTGGCCGTCCCTACTTGAGAGTTTTACTTGGCCATTCTTCCCCTTGCCTATCAACCCACATAGTCACCAGCATCAGACCTAACACATCTCCTTTGAGGAGGCCTCCAATTGTCCTGAGCACACTTGAATGTGATTCATTTTCTCTCTCTCTCTCTCTCTCTCTCTCTCTCTCTCTCTCTCTCTCTTCTTTTTTTAAAGCAAGGTCTTGCTATGTAACCCTGGCAGATGTGGAACTCACTATGAAGATCAAACTGACCAGGAACTTACAGCAATCTTCTCATTTTTACCTCTCAAGTGTTTGCGCTACAGGCATGCAGCACTATGTCCAGCCCATAACTAATTCTTGAACATTTATTTATCGAGTCTTTGCCTAATTTTCCTTAACCTTATCTTTTCTAGGTCCTAAATATTTAGATTGTTTTTATGGTGTGATTGTATGTATAAACATACCCTTTTTCTACTATGAGACCTGTATTTATAATCATGTGAAGTGTCTTTGCAGAGTAAAGAATTTTTTCAGTTCTGGTAATTCATAAATTATTATGTAAATTATGTTAAGAAAGATATGATGGCTTGCGGGAGACCTACCTCCATTATTAACTACCCCGCTATCTGAGCAAACTATTCAGTCCTCAATCTTCCATGTATAAAACAAGGATAATAAGAAAGCTATCGATGTGCTAGAAGGACCCAATAATTCAAGAAGTATAAAGTAGTTGAACACTTAACAGCATTCTATGAGTAAATGTATTTGTTGGGTATAAGAGTTATCTAAAAAATAAACATTTTTTATTGCTGGGATCATTTTTTAAGACTCAAAGATTCTTGGAACATCTACAGAATTTAGGATTTGACAACCAGTTTTACAAGAACCTTGTCCAATCCTTTTACATATCCAAAAGTCAGTCAGCTGTAAGAACCCAAAACTCCTTAAGTAAAGGCAGATACTATAAATATGGATTAGTGTCATTTACCCAAGCCCTTGTGCGATTTCCTTTAGGTGAAAAGCAAAACATATGAAAGAATGCCAGAGAACAAAAAAGGAAAGAGAGAAACAACACCAGAAACAAGGAAACCTTTCAAACCCATGTCTGCTTATAAACAGAAGCGAGTGTCTGGAAACGTGAGTGACATGAATGGAGTTGGTTTCACACAGAAGTGTTTCTTTGTGAAAGAATTTTCTGCAATAGGCTAGGGGAGCGAAAGTGGAGCTGAGGCCCCCTCTTCCTATACTTCAGACCCAGGCTAACGTTTAACCAGGAAAAGGTTGCTGCCAAGACTCACTGAGATGGCTCAGTCTGTAAATTGCTTGCCGCACAAGCAAGAGGACCTGAATTCAATCCCCTAAAACTCCTTAAAGGTGGGCTAACCTGGGAGTGTTTGCTTGTAGTCTCAGCCCTAGGAAGTGGAGACAGGTGGATCTTTGGGGCTTGCTGATAATCATCTGAGTTGGTGACTTTCAAGTAAAAATGAGAGACCTTGTTTTTTAACAAAACAAAACAAGGTTGAAGGCACCTGAGATCTCAGGACTGTACTCTTACACAGCAGGCACTCCATCCTCTCGGCCCCCTCCCCAGCCCAAGTTCTCAGTTTTCTAAGTTAGCACCTCACATACATACATTCAATGTTTTCTTCAATTTGAAACATTCTTGCCAATTTACAATGACCCTTTTAATCCAAAATCAAGAGCTTCTACATTCGTTTTTGCTCGTCAAATATTTGTCAGGAACAGGGCTAATGAGAGTCAGAGTGCTTTATGCCGAATACAAGCTGCATATCGTGTCACCTGAAGGGTTCAGACTATAAACTCATCCACTTCATTCTGTATGATGCCCCTCTTCATGGTGAATATTTGTAGAACTTTCTTCTCCAACACCCTTTTTACAAGATGTCCTCTTTTGGCTTTCTGGGTTTTAAAAGGAATAAAACGGAGTGGTTTTTTTCCCCAGAAATACTAATTTTTTCCACATGAGGAAGCTAAAATGACAAGGTTGCTTGTGGCATGAACTCTTAACATAGACTGATAAATGTTTATCGGGTACCTAGTGAGTTGACAAGAAATAACGCTCCCTCTTGGAGCTTACATTTTAATCTTTGTGAGCTTTAGCGACAAACATTGAAACAAACACACAGATGGAAAGCTTCAATGGGAGCCACAAAGGAAATGAACAGTCTCATGTGGGGGAATCACACTGACCTGGATGAATTGGCACTGTTTTACTTTGGGTCTCAGAGGCTGAATGTCACTCTCCAGAAAACATGCCAGGCCACGGACTTCAAGTTAGTAGCTCAGTTCATCACAGAAATAAACATGTGCTAACTAGTCATGAATGCAGCTACTAATCCTACACCCTAACCCCACCCCAAGAGCAAGTTGCTAAAACCATTTGCCAGCACACACTGATAATGGGGTATAAGAATTGAACTATGTTTCATAAGGTTGTCCGAGTTGCCTTTATTTCTTGCTGGAATGAAACACTGACCAAAGCCAATTTGGGAGAGGAAAGAGTTTATTTGGCTTACAGTTTACAGACTATCAAGAGATGTCAAAGTGGGAACTCAAGGCAGAAGCTTAAAGCAGAAACCTTGGAGGAATGCTGCTTATTGGCTTGCTTCCCTTGATTTGCCCACCTGCCCAGGGATAGTACCACTGACAGTGGGCTGGGTCCTCCTCCATCAATTAGTAATCAAGAAAATGTCTCACGGATGTGCCCACAGGCCAGCCTGATGGAGAAAATTCCTTAATTGAGGTTCCCTCTTCCCAGGTGACTTACTTTGTGTCAAGTTGACAAAAACTCACCACAGGAGTGGCAGGAGATGCTTCATTTAAAGAAATAATCTTTTTCTTTTGTGGTGCTTGAGCTCAAACCACTAAGCAACATCCCCAGCTCTAAAGAGATATCATTTAAACAGATTCTAATGTTTGAGAAGAGCCCAGTAAAAATTATTTTAGACAAAAGATATATAGGTACAGAGGCATCAAGGCAGGTGATCAGAAGGGTTTTTGGATTAGTTAGGAGATGAGGTGGTTAGGAAGTCATCAGCAAAAGGGAACAGAAAACAGATGATAAAGGATTAGATAGTATGGGATGATGGAAGTCATGGTGACTGGACGATCTGGTCTCTGAGAGACATAACTTAAAAGGGACGGTTCTGTTGGAAGCATGCTGCTTTGTGTGTGCTTCTCAGCTTTCTTTCTTTTAACATCCTCTGAAATCCAAGACAATAGTGCTTTTACCAAATTATTTAAGAAGAAATTAGAAATGTAAGTGATCATCAAAGAAAATCCATTTCCAAAAGCCTTTACGTCTTTATTTTTCAATATTTTATTTATTATTTTATGTGTATACAATAAATACAATGTGTGTACATTGCCTGTGTGTATGTAAGTGCATCTGTGTCATGCAATGCCTGTGGAGGTCAGAAGACGGTGTTGGTTTTCCTTGGAACTGGAGTTACAGATGGTTGTTAGCTGCCATGTGGGTAGTGGGAATCGAACTCAGGTCCTCTGCAAGAGCAGCCAGTGCTCTTAACCGCCGAGCCATCTCTCCAGCCCCGCCTTTAAGCCTCTTTTAAGAAAACAAAGACTATACTGCATGCTGGTCCCTTGCTGTTCTCAGGGACCTCTTAGGAACAGAGAGGACAGTAAGATGTCTGGAGCTAAGGAGCATTCTGGATCTGTGTGTGTACACGGAAAGACATAAAACAAACCTTGTCTTCAGAACTCCATACCTACTCCTTTTATATAAATCAAGAAATTAATCAGAACAGGGGGAGGGCCACCTTGCTGAAACCAATCTCTAGGTTATTTCCTTCCTTCCCTCCTTCCTCCCTCGCTCTCCTTTTCTCTTCCTTGAATGTTTTCTTTCTGTTCCCCCTTCCTCTCCTCCTCCTCTTCTGCCACCCTCCCATCTTTCTCCCTCTTCTCTCTCTTGCCTCTGTCCCTCCCTTCTTTAACTTTTTTCTACATCTTTCCCTTCTTCCATCTCCTTTCCTTCCCTCCCTCCCTTCCTCCCTCCCTTCCTCCCTCCCTCCTTCCCTTTCTCCTCCTATTCCTTCTTTATTCTATTTTTTTACATTTATTTATGTAATGGGGGTGTCGAGGAATGCTTATATGAGTTGGTTCTCTTCTCCCACAATGTGGGTCCAGGGACTTGAACTCAGGTGGTCAGATCTGGCAGCAAGCAGGTGCTTTTATCTGCTGAGCCATCTTACAGTCCATTTCTTCTTCTTACTCCCTACTCCATCCTTCCCTCCCCCCGTGTTCTCTTTTTCTTCATTTTCTCAACCTTTCCATTTTGCTTTCCCTCGTCTTTCCTTCTTCTTTCCACCCCTTCCTTCTTTCCTGTCCTCTCCTCCCTCCCTCCCTCCTCTTTCTCTCCCTCTTTCCTTCCATCTTCCATTTTTCCTCACTCTCATTCTCTTCTCCCTCCTTATCTTAAATCTTATTTCCTGATTTCCTTCCATTGTCTTTCTCCTTCCTTCCTTCTTTCTTTCCCTTCTTTTTTCCCTATGGACATTTACTGAGCCCTTTTCCCTGCACTGGGCTTAGGTACTTCAGATACAGACATGTGGGCCAGGCAGTCTTTACCCTCTGGGAACTCTTCTCACAGAGAGGCAGGTAATGGGAGCATGGTGGGAGGAGCACCTACTGACCTGGGACCTGGTGCTGAGAGAAGAGGGGAATCAGAGAGAGAAGCTGATGTTGACTATTGAAAGCTAGGCAGAAAGCTGATAGGGAAGCAAAGAGAATATAATTCATCGAGGTAGAGCAGAGACTACAATATGTTTTTCTCTGGAAAAAAATTATAAATAGAAATCATAGTACTATCTGTGCTAGTATGTTCTGGGAAAATGTTGGCTATTGGAATCTTTAACTTGGGCATTCAGACCACATCAACATGTCCAATACTAAAAATAACATTTTAAGGTTTTACATATTTTCTCTTTTCAAAAACTGTTCAAGGAAAAGTATATACAGTATAATAGAAAATGGGAATAGATAAGACAAGAAATAAAACAAGAAAATAATATTAGGAAAATGAAATAAAGCTTACTGTGTGTGATGATCTTTTGTGTTAATGATTAATGAGGGTGACTGGGAGATTTGCTCCTCTCCTCCTTCATACTATGTGGAAAACACAATTAGGTACAATTGCTGCCCTGTTCATACGATAAAATCAAGTCAGAATTTCTCCCCTACATATTCCTAAAGGAACCACGGTAGAGTTTTCTGGGTTTTTTCATACACCCTTCTCTGATAATTAGTCAGTTTTCTTCTGGGGATTTTTCTCCCATTCATCAATCATCTAGGTGTGTCTTATAGATCTGACTTCCCCATACTTATACCCTCTCACACATTCACCCCCCACATCCTGGCACCAACTATTGAATATGTAACTGGGGCAGGAGAGTGTAATGCACTGCAAGACACTACAGGGAGTGGCTGAGATGAGCTCATGAGCTGACCAGACCCCTTGGATTTCTGGGGAAAAGATTCTAGACTTGCAGTAGGAAGATCCGAGCCCTGGAGTTGCTGCTGCCATTTAGAGATATCAAAGGCAGAGCACACCAGAGAAATGCTCTGAAGCTAATGATAGGGACTGAGAAGTAGAGCCCGCTCCCATCATCGGAAGCACAGCCTTGAAGTACATTCAGACCCTTCAAGTCTCTAGCTTCCAATTTTGCTTTTGCCAGTTGGTATTGGAGTTTTATCCTTTGTGTGGAGTAACATTGAGTGGGTGGAACAGGAACACTCTGAGGAGATTATTACAGTGAACACAAAAGCAGATTGTATCAAACTCCCTGGTACCATCCCTCAGAGCAGATCGGTTACAAAACACTAAAGCAGGTAAAATCAGCCACAATAGCAACATTGTTCAGAACATAGACAATCTAGACTCAAACGGTGGCACTGGTTTGAGCCAAAACCAGGGGTACAGCCAGCCATGGTGGTGCATGCTTTTAATCCCAGCAGTAGGGAGGCAGAGGCAGGTGGATCTCTGTGATTTGTCTCCAAAGTGAGATCCAGGCTAGCCAGGGCTACATAGTGGGACCTTGTCTCAAAAGAAAAAACAAAAACAAAAACAAAACAAAACAAAAAACAAAAACAAAAAAACCTAACAGCAGCAACAAAAGACTAGAGATACACTGGATGTTCTCCAAAAGATCCCTACTATAGCTTAATGGATGCCTCTGTGAGATGATAGCTTAGACAGTGTGGGGTGATTAGCAGATAGTGTGTGTGTACGTGTGTGTGTGTGTGTGTGTGTGTGTGTGTGTGTGTGTGTGGCCATAGCTGAATTTTTATATCTCAATGAATATCCAGTCCTCTGACATACAGGAAGCAATATGGTGAAATGGGGGATAATGTGAATCCCAGTCTCAGTTGTCTGTTTAGCTTGAGCATCACCTGTGGATGCTGAAATACAGCTGCTTTCATTAATGCGAGTTGAAGACGTAGGACACATAAAGAAGCCATGTGTTTTTTTTTTTTCAATAATAGTGGTGGGCTACGTTATAAGTATTGCTTACTTAAAAGACATTCATCTAGCTTAATTCTGCACGTGGAGGTCGTGTGCATTTATGAGCTCATTCTTGCCTCTGTAACTGGTTTGGAATCTAAATCCAAGCTTCTCCATGCAGCCTACCTATCCACCTTGAGGTGTCTGACACATGGTAGCATTAACTAATGAAAAACTATAGAATACAGTTTATTTAGTCACTGACTGTACTTATAATCTTAAAATATTTAAAGATCTGATATCCAAACCTCGTGTTCTTGATCTGGATACCCCATAAACTAGAGCAGAACTGGTGGTATTTTATTTTAATCTTGGATTGATAATGGTTTAAGGTTTTTCCATATAAAGGTCTTGATTACTTCTTTATGAGTTTCTTTCTAGGTATTTGATTTTTTTGTTGTTGTTGTTTGTTTTGAGACAGGGTCTCCCTGTAGCCCCAGCTGGACTGGAACTCACTATGTAGACCAGGCTGGCCTTGAACTCACAGAGATCTGCCTGCCTCTGTCTCCCGGGTGTTGGGATTAAAGGCATGTGCCACCATGCTGGGATCAGGCTTCTTTCATTTAGTATGTTTTAAATTTTTTTGATTTGTCTATTTTATGTGTATGAGTGTTTTGCCTGCATGTACATAAGTGCACCGCATGTGTGCAATGCTTGCAGAGGCCAGAAAAGGGTGAGAGATTCCCTGAAACTGTTGTAGGCCACCATGTGGGTGCTGGGAACTGAATCTGGGTTTTCTGCAAGACCACCCAGTGCTCTTAACCCTGCAGCCACCTCTCCAACCCCTCATTTAGTATGTTTTCAAGGTTCTTCTGTGTTGTAGCATATAATAGTATTGCATTCTTTTTGCTTAACTAGTATTTCATTGTATAGAAGTAAAACATTTTAGTTATTCATTCATTATTTCATGGAAATCTAGATATTTTCACCTTTAAGTTATTATGAATAATACTACTAAGAGCACAGCAGGCATATTTTTGTGTGAAAATATATTTTCATTTTCTCTGAGTGCATAATCTAAGAGAGGACTTGCTACATCATGTAGTAATTCTAGGTTTAATACTTTTAGGAACTGCCAAATTGTTTTCCACGGTGGCTATGCCATTTTACAGTTCCACCAGCAACGTATAGGTGTTCTGATTTCTCCTCAGCCTCAACAACATTTTTCATTTTATACTTTCTTATTAGTTATTTTAGTGGATGCGATATGGTAAGTTAATTATGTTTTGGATTTATATTTCCCTAGTGATTGATGCTGTAAAGATCTTTTTATATGTCTATAGGTTATTTCTATATCTTCTTTGCAAAAGTGTCTATTCAAATCCTTTTCCCATTTCTAAATTAGTGTATCTTTCTATTATTGAGTTATAAGGATTTTTCATATATTCTGAATACTAGACCCTTACTAGAGTTGTATTTTTTTTTTTGTGGGTTGTGAATTCCATACAATATATTTTGATTAAATTTAGATCACCTCCCCCATCTACACCCCCCTATCCTTTTTTTTTTTTTTTTCCGCCAGTTTTGTTTTATTGCAAATTGCGGCGATCTCAGTCCTTGACCGGCATACTTGCGCAGCGGGTACAACCGCTCTTTCCGCTGCTGCTTCTTGGTCTTCAGCTCCTCCTCATGTTTGGTGAGCCGGCGGCGCATGGCTCTAGGCTTCTTGGGCCGCAGGTCCAGGGGCTTGTACTTCTTACCCTTGTAGAATTTCCTGAGGTTTTCTTTCTGGGTCTGGTTGACGACGGTGAGGACACCGGCAATAGATTTTCGGACAACTCGGATCTTGGAGAGTTTGGACCAGGCGCGGCCTGTCACTTTGGCGACCGGCAGCCGGGACAGCTCCACTTTCAGATCGTCCAGCTGTTTCAGTAGCTCCTTCTTGCCGCGAAGGTCCTGAGCCTTAATCTTGGCCAACCTTATTTTTAAGACAGGGCCTGTCACTGAACCTAGAACTCAATTAGGCTAGACTAGCTGGTCCGCAAGCTTCAGGGATTCTCCTTTCTCTACCTCCCCAGGGCAGGACTACAGATGCACACTGCTGCACCTGTTTTTTCACATGGGTTCTGGGAGTTGAACTTGGGTACCCATGTCTGCACAGCAAGCACTGATCCATTTACCCAGCCCTTTTATCTCATCATTCTTGATGTTTTGGCAGCAATTTAAAAATAAATCTATAAATAAATCTTTTTAATGGAATGAGGGGATTTCAGAAGGAAACCAGTGTGTAAATAAGCATGTCTCCCATCTTTACCCAGAAGTACATCTTCTCTCTTCAAGGTTCTAAGAAAGAACAGAAAATTAAGTCATTCAACAAGTTGGAAAATCTGGGCTAAAGAGACACTGAGACTCACTGATCCTTGGAACTCCAACATAGTGGCAAAATGTTGCTTTAAGGGAAGCAGAAATCTTGCCAGCATGCATGAACAGGCAAGGGGGTCGTTAAAGGTGTTTTGTTTCTTTTTGAAACAAAGCTGAGAATGATTTTTTTTTTTTCTGGAACTGAGGACTGAACCCAGGGTCTTGCCCTTGCTAGGCAAGTGCTCTACCACTGAGCTAAATCCCTAACCCCTGAGAATGAATTTTTTTTAATTAAAAATTAAATTAAAAATTTTTTATTTTATGTGTATGCATGTATTGTCTGCATGTAGGTACATACACCGATGTCATGCAATGCCCGCAGAGATCAGAAGAGGCTGTCAGATTCCTGGAACTGGAGTTACAGACAGTTGTTAGCTGCCATGTGGGTGCTGGGATTCGAACCCAGGTCTTCTGCAAGAACAACCAGTGTTCTTAACTGCTGAGCCATCTCTCCAGCCCCAGAGAATAAATTTTTTTAAAGACAAAACTAGTTGGATCCGTAAGATACCACTTTCTACATCTAGTTTATTTCTTACTAGTTCGTAATCATATAGACTCATGTTATCGCCTGTAAATGTCTAAATTAAGAAGAATAAGTCCACAAAATAATCTAGAGGGGTTACCGATGTGGTTTAGTTGGTATAGCACTTGTCTAGCATGCTCAAAGCCCTGGGTCCCATCCCCAGCATGGCATAAAACTGGGCATTGTGGCGCTCACCTTTATGTAATCTCAGCACTGGGGAAATGAAAGCAAGAGATTGAGAAGTTCAAGTTCATCCTCAGCTATGTAGGAAGTTGGGGTAAGCATGTGTTATATGAGACCCTGTCTCCAGAAGAAAATGTACAGACACTATCCGGATCTTTTATTGCTTTGCTGATCAACTTCTCTCTTCAGTCAGTAAGTTAGTAGTGCCTTCTTTTCCCTTGAGGAGCAGTTTCCACCAGATCTCATGGAATACTTCTTCTATGGGAAGTGAGATTTCCAGCTAATTGAAATGAATAATTGTGCTTCCTTCAAAGGAATGTACGATGTTACATAGGAAAGAAGGCTTGAAGGGAATTATTCAGAACCTTGGCCTTATTAACATGTAATTTGTTGTGTGTGTGTGTGTGTGTGTGTGTGTGTGTGCGCGCGCGCACGCGCGCAAGCAGTCAAGGGCATCGGGAACACCAGTCCTTTGCAGTCAGATTCTTAGCATCTACATGAGCCTGCCTCCAGGCTGGAATAATTTAGTCACCTGATTTTCCCGTAACTCTTATTAGTTTTGGCTTGGTGAGGGCGCATTCATGCACAAGAGGTCCTTTTCCATTTTCTAAAAGCCTTTTGTAGGACACCAATAACCTCTTTTCTTACCCAATGCCTCGGCAAGAAGTTTGAGGAAAATACAGATCACATTCAGGACTTATAGGCAAATAAGTAGGTCACAATTACAACTCTAGTTTTGCAGTAATTTCAAATGACTTTGAGTTTAATACTGTTCCTTGGCATGGCTGGTGATAGTTCCCCCTCAAAACTACCTTTTAAGATATGATTATTTGGGACTGACAAAATGGCTCAGTGGGTAAGGCGCTTGTCTGACAACCCGAGTTCAATCCTGGGAATCTACATGGTAGAAGGCGAGAACTGACCTACATACACACACAGAAATACAAATAAACAAATGCAACTTTTTAAAAGATATGATTGATTGGTATCACTTAATAACGATGGTAAGATCTGGGCATGGGGCCTCACGCACCAGGAGTCTGAAGCAGGAGGATCACAAGTTTGAGGCAAAGCTGGGCTGTCTCTGGAAAGAAAAAAGATAGTGAAGGAAACTTTGTAAATTATTCTAAACTCAAAACCCAATATAGCTGTTATGGAAGGTCACTTTTTAAAACATAGTTAGTCATAGTCAAATGTAGAAAGGCCTTAGGAGTGAATGGATCCTGCATAGCAGGCCATCCGGCTACTTGTACATAATTTTCAATGCTCACCAACCAGAAGGTGCTCAGTCAGGTTCACATTCCCAGGCACCTGTTGTTTCTTCTTGGCTCCTGGGGTAGGGGTGGGGAAAGGGAAGAACTTCAAGAAGTTGCCACAGTGCATGGAGTAAAGGGTTTAAATCCATTTCACAGAACCCACTTCCTGTGCACTGAAAGCCTTTTGACATTTCCAGAGCTGCTGTTTATTTGGAGCTGTGAGAGTGGTTGAAGTTCTTTGTTTAAACCACAACATTTATGAGTGGCAGGAGCTAAAGACTCATGGCACGTTTTAAGTGGTCAGGCAATCTCTACCGGAAGGAAACAGGGTGTTGAATTACCCGAGAGCCTAGCAGGCAAATCCACCTAGGAGGGCCAGCTCAGCAGAGGCTGCCAAGGTGAACTTTCAACCCCTTCCTCCCTCCCACCTGCCTACCTAGACTCTCTTCAAAAGAGGGAGATTTCTCTCTAGTTTCCTTCTTGCAAAGGTAAGGCACCCCAAAATACATAAATGAACAGCAACAGCTGCTACCCACACCTTCAAGGAAAATACCTTGTATGTATCAACCGTTTCCTTCTTAGGTTTATGATTATTTTATCCCTAAAATCCACTGGTTTTTGTGATCCTTTATTATAACAGGAAAGGCTGAAGAATTATTTCTTTCTGTTCAAATGAAAAATGAAGGAAGCTACTTAAGTAAGTTCATATACTAAATTTCTAGAAAAATTCCTTGCTTATTCAACAATATTAGAAACAAGAGAAACAGATTATCTTTCTTTTTTATTATTTTTATATTATTTGTATGTGTGTATTGCTTGCTTGTATGCAATGCCCACGGAGGACAGAAGAAAGCATCAGATCCCCTGGAACTGCAGTTATGGACAGTTGTTAGCTGCCATGTGGGTGCTGGGATTGGAACCCAGGTCTTTTGCAAGAGCAGTCAGTGTTCTTAACCACTGAGCCAGTTCTCCAGTCCCAGATTATCTTTCTTAAATAACAAAATATAGTGGATTTTAACTTAGGATATAATGGCTGCAACATAGTTATTTTGCATTTTAAGGTCCTTTAATTTTCAAGTAAGGATTACAATATGATTAACCATTAATAAGGAAGTTGAATTACTGAAACACAGAGATGCTTCATATTTTAAAGCCACAGGCTCTCAATTTTTCTAGAAGACAACCAGAAGTCATTCTATCTTCCTTGTAAAATTCTTATCCAGACTACAGTGTGTAAAAATTAAACAAAGAGTTTTGTTTTTGTTTTTGAGCAGAGTCTCCATAGCCCAGGCCTGCCTCAAACCTGTTCCACTTCCCAAGTTCAGGGACGACAGGCATTTGACACCACTGAGTTCTGTGTGGTGCTGGAGATGGAGCCAACGGCTTCATGCATGCTAGGCAAGCTTTGGTGCTTCTCGACAAAGACACCAAAACAATATAATGGGAATTTTAACAAATGGCTCTAGAGTATCAGGCAGCCAGATGGAAAAAGAGCCTCGAAGGTCAACTTAAATCCAACACACAAACATTAATTAGAGATAGATCATAAGCCTAAATATAAAAGCTAAAACTTAACTTGGGTTGGGGGGAGCTAAAGAAAGGGGCTGGGGAAATTTTCAAAAAAAATTTAAAAAATTAAAAGCTAAAGTTATGGTGTTCAGAAGTAAATATAGATTATTATTTCCATGACTTGGGTTAAACCCAAGTTTTATAACACAGGTCATAAAAAAACAAAACCATAACAGATTATATATGTATATATATATGTATGTATATATGTTCATATGTATATTAATTAAACTTCCTCAAAAGATACCTTTAAGAAGACAGACAAAAGCTGGTGAGATGACTCAGTGGGTAAAGGCGCTTGTCACCAATCCTGATGACATGAGTTCAATTCCCAGGACTCACATGGTAGGAGAGAACCTACTCTTGAAAGTTGTCCTCTGACCTCCACATGCAGGCCATGGCATGCCTACACTCACATGCACACATGCACACACACTCACAAACAGTAAATATCATTGTAATTTAAAATTTAAAAGGAAGATAGATGAGCTACACACAGAACACAGTAAAATATACATCTGACAAAAAGTTGGTATTAGAATATGTAAAAAACTCCTAAACAATGAGGGGAAAGAGCACAAGACAAGCAGGCGCTTCAGAACAGAAAGTGTGTGAATGGGCAATAAACATAGGAAGTACTCAACATAATGAGCCAGCAGGGAAATGGAAATGGTATCACTCAGTACCTACAAGAATGGCTAGCATGAAGCACTGATAGCATCAGATGCTGGCAAGGGCATAGAGCACCTGGAATTCTCATGCAAGTAGAAACTAGTACAAGGTTGTGGGAGGAAAAATCAGACAATTTCCTACAAGACTGGAAACACACCTACTCTTTAATACAGTAATTGTAATTCTAGATATTACCTATGTTAACATGTGTTCACAAAAATATTTGTAGCAGAATGTTCACATCACTTTTTTATTTGTAATAAACTGAAAACATCCCATCTGTCTACCACTAGAAAAATGGATAAATTGTAATAGCTACAGAAATGGACTCAGCAAAATAAACTCCTCATATAGGCAACAACATGGGTGAATCCTAAAAATAACTTTTAAGAATTAAGCCCTATACAAGAGATTGTGTACTGTTTCATTCTATGTAAATACATTCTAGAATAGACAATGCTCATCTACTATGGAAACACAGAAGAAAAACTAGGAAGGGATATGGGGGAACTTTCTCTTGATGAGGAATTGCTTTATTTACATAGATGCACACTTTTCTCAAAAGTCAGTGTGAATGTGCACTAAGGATTTGACGTATACTTTACTATATGCCAATTTTTCTATCGAAAGGCAGAACCTGACTGTCCACCTCTAGGTGGTGGCATGTGCACTGAAATGTTTAAAAGAAATTGCACTCATGTCTATAATTTATTTTAAAATGTTCCAAGAAAAAGGAAACCAATAAGATGGTTTGAAGGATACTGTGAGTTCAAATGAGAATGTCCCCCATAGATTCCAAGTATTTGGACACTTGGTCCCCAGTTCATGGTGCTGTTTGGGGAGTGTCTTGGAACCTTCAGGAGGTGTGCCCATGCTGGAGGAAGCATATCACTGGGGATGGCCTTTGAGAGCTCTCAAGACTTGTGGGATTTCCAGTTTTCACTTTTCTTCCTGTGCCTGCTTGGCAAGGTGAGTGCTCAGTTTTCTGAGGGGGCCACTGCCTTCAGCCATGCTTCTGTGGCCGTTATGGACTCTCCCTCTTGGAACCATAAGGCAAATAAACCCTTCTATAAGTTGCCTTGGTCACAGTGTTTGATCACATCAACAGAAACGTAACTAATACAGATAGATAGATAATATGAGAGATGGACAGAAGGAAAGAGGGACAGAGTGAAAAAAGCAAACGAGGCCAGCAGCATGTGCAATGGTAGAAGCTGGTGTTGGATCTGGAATGCAGGTGTTCACTCAAGCTCAACACTGCTGTGTATTTGTAGACATGTGAAAACACTGAAGGAAAGGAAGTAGGTTTTTAAGAGAAATAACTGGTTTTTAAGTATCCTGCTCTTCTAGTGCATCTTATAGATTTTCTTTCTACTGAGATTTCACAATGAATCATTGATTTGTTCATTCCATTGAAAGATAAATCAAATTGATATTTTTCTCCTAGTAATGACAGAAGTTTAAGAATGTAGAGAGAAAAAATTTTAGGCTGTAAAACTAAAGAACTAGTCATAGAGAATTTGCTGCTCGTGTGCCTTGCAGGATGTAAAGATAACCAAGCCTTCATTCCCACCAGAAGAGACCACACTTTCATTGGTTAGCCACAAAAAATGAAGCAAAGCCGAATTGCTACCAGTGCAGGAAGCTACCCCAGGCCCGACCTCTCCCCATATCCTCTCTCTTACTTGCTCTCTATGCGGGCCCCTCTCTTGCTATTGGTTCCATCTGCAAGACTTTCTTCTCATGCACTCTAAGTATTGTACTGAGCCTCAGCTCCAGCCCATTTCCTCAAGGACACACTCCCTGACCAAGACCAGAGATAGGGCTCTTTGTCTCGGCTTCAGAGCACAGCAATTCTTCATGTGAGAGCAGTAAGCCCAGTCCATAGTCACTGGCAGGATCATTTGGGTACCGTGTATCTCTGGTCATATGCAGTCAGTAGGTTTTATTTCCTCTCCTGTGGTCAGTTTTTTTTTTTAAAAACACTTCTTGCCTCATCGATCTGTTTATGGGAGGTAGAGGTAGGAGCTCAAGGTCTTCCTAGGCTACATATAATAGCAAGCTTTGAGGCCAGCCTGGGCT